GCGAGCCTCTCAAAGGGTAAAAGTGTAACAAGTCCATGCCAAATGGTTTTGAGACCCTGAAGTCATCTGAATCTAGGAGAGTGGTTGTTGTTTGCTGATGATGTAACCTTATGGAGTGAGTGGCGGTAAACCGCTTTACTCTGACGGGGAACGGTACTCAGGGAGAGCACTTCTGATCGCCATTCTGGCTTGAAACAGTGAAACAGTCAACAAAGTATTCTGTTCACTTTGAACACACAGCTTGTATCAGCACACTGCTCATTCTGAACACGCAGCTCATAACACAGTATTCGATTTACTCAGCACACAGCTCAGTCTGAACAGACAGTCCGATCTGAAAAGACGGGATGTAAAAACGGAACCTGTAGAAGTTGAAACAAACTCGGATGCTCCAAATTTTCCCTCTTTTCTTTTGCTTTGCAGTCTGGAACCCATATAGCTTCAGATAGGTCCTGTTCTCACATGACCTGGGTAGAACCCTGCGTTTTTTTTTTTGGAAGAACAAAATCTTGTTTTGCACAAATGTAGAGAACGACACGGCACTCCTAAGAACAAAATGATTCATTTTGAAATTGAGAAATGAATTCTTAACCGGGTATTGAGCCTACAACTGACCACAGCCAAAAAGACTGAACAACGAAAAACAAAAGGTAAATAACCTAAACACATCGAGACACACTCGGAACGACTCAAAGCAAGAATTGAGACAAACAAAACAAAAGACACGACACACAGATGTGTTACCAAGACGAGAGACCTCTCAGTTCGCGAGGAGCCAGTTTCTCCGGGTATTGTTTCCCACCCTTTCTTATTTGTGATTCTCACATCACTCGGCCCTCAGGCTCGGCTTTTCTCACAAAACCCTTTTCCTCACTTTTTCTCTTAACGCACATCTCTCTATTCTTTAATCTCTCATTTTTTATCCCTCCCCTGGGTGGTTGATGGATAAACAGAAAGTTGTGGGCTCTTGCCCCTAGCATTCCACTATATTCTTTTTCTTCTGTACGCAGCTAGTGAGTTTCTCCCACAAAGGGGCTGTGCTACAACTGGGTGTGTAGCAAATCTGCAGCTGACATCGGTTGACGATGCTCTACTGGGGGGTTTGGACGTGATCAGATCTGTCCAGATGAGGGAGTGGAATATCTTGATCCATTCCAGTTCGTGCTTCGCACTTGGCTTGACACCTCGTTGCTTGGAGGATGCGAGAGCTTTATGCCCTTTTGCGGTTAGCTTCAGTGGTGCCCTTTTCTGGCAGGTATGGTGCCCTTCTTGGCAAGTATGATGCCCTTTCTGGCAAGTATGGTGACAATGGGGAAAAGACAGAACACCTGACTCAACTATGCCCCTAGTTCATCATTTCGACCATTTTTTTGTTGTTGGCTTTCTACTAAAACAATTTTGACCAAAATGAGAGTTAGATTAACATGCTTGTTCAATTTTCTGATTTAAAATCATGCAACTCAGGCTATGAGTACTGAAAATTTTCCTTTTTTTGGGTCCAATAAATGGTCCAATTTTGAAAAATGGAATACTTTTCGAGAAGATTAGTCAACCTCAGTAAAAATTCTCAAAAACTATTTCGCAAACGGCCACTGCTGAACGAGCGCAAAACCTACTCTTGAGATGCACAACCTCAGATCGGAAGGAAAGTTACTGCATGGCAACAGAAAGTTGCCCATTGTTTGAAAGGCACCGCAACACATTGAATAGCAACGGAAAGTTGCCCCTTGTTTGAATAGCACCGCGACGCGTTGTAGTCAGTCCTCAGAGTGACGAACACAACCAAATTTTCGGATTCAGAGAAAGCAAAGATGATCAAAACCATTACATGGACACAGCGTTTTACGGCTGGACTTCAAAATGAAGTTGCCTACGTATCCCAAAGATGGGAATCAAGCCTTACGTAGTTCGGGGATAAGGTACACTCGGGTATTCAACCTCTCCTTTTGCGCTCTAACTTTTGCCAAGGCCGCCCTTCCGGGTTTTCAACCTTGCGAGCTATGTTCTTCTTTTCTTTTCAATTCTTTTCATTTCGTTTCTACTTTGTTCATTCTTTTTCATCTTTTCTTTTCATTTTATTCATTTTTTTTGTTCTTTGCATTTTTCTTCTCTTTTTTTTGTTCTTTTTCTTGCTCTAACTTTTGCCTGGGTCGCCCTTCCGGGTTTTCGGCCCAGCGAGCCTCTCAAGGGTAAAAGTGTAGCTTTTGTCCATATGGAATGGTTTGAGATCTCGAAGTCATCTAAATCCAGGAGAATGGTTGTTGTTTGCTGATGATGTAGGAGTCCATCTAATGGGGGGCTGAATTTCCCCCTAGTGTTGTAGATCGGAACTCAGTTTTTCTTCAGCAATACTTTCTTCTCTCTTCCTCTCTGGGATTTGGCATTCTTGTCGATCTTTGTTAGCTTGAGAAACATCCCAATTTTTTGACTCTTCGAGCACATCTGACAGTTTTGCCCCTAGTTCGAGTGGTGCTTCTGATCTAGCTTTGCAAGCTTCTTTTGACGACATGTGATCTTCTTGATCTGACTTTCCTGCCGCTAATTCATGGGCTGCTTCGACTCTGGCCACTCAGGCCTCACATTGTAGTTGACCGTTGAACGTTCTGAATTCAAGTTCAAGGTTTTGAAAGCAGAGGGGTCAAGTCTCGAGGCTGAGAGCGATCCTAAGCTGCACAATCTCAAGAGCGATTTCACACAGGTCTTCACAGGATCGCGCAAAATATTTTTTGAAATCTTTTAAGAAAGCGACCAGTCGCTCGCGCCG